AAGTCATTTCGGATTCTACCAATACCAATCCCTATCGAGCTATGATCAGCACGTTATTGACTTATGGTTCTGATACTAAGAAATCCCAACTCTCTGCGGAATTGTTTTACAAAGACACTGCTGGAAAGATGGATCTGGCGGATCCTGTCGCTACTGGCTACAATACCGGGCTGAATACCCGATATGAGTTTATCAAAGACAGTTCTGCTGTAGAATTGCTAGGACCTCTACATTCTGATTTGTTTTATCAAGACCGTTTACTGCTAAATGGAGTCACCATGCGAATACGATTAAATCGAAGCAAGAATGCCTTTTGTCTCTTGTCTGCTGTTGGTGGAGCTGATTACAAAGTGAGCATTTCGCATGCTAGTCTGTTTGTTCGAAAAGTCAAAGTGACGTCAGACACGTTTCTTGGTCAYGCAGCCGCCCTTCAACATTCACCAGCCCTCTATCCCATACGAAGAGTGGAATGTAAAGTACTATCCAYYCCCAGCGGCAACATGTCTTTCACCCCAGATGACGTATTCCTAGGACAGATCCCCAAACGAATTGTTTTGGGTTTGGTAGAAAACGCCGCCTTCAATGGAGCTTACACCAAGAATCCGTTCAATTTTCAACATTTTAAAGCTACGCAAGTTGGGATTTATGTCAATGGTGAGGCTCAACCGATCAAGGCATTACAACTGAACTTTGAAAAAGAACAGTATCTCATGGGATACATGAGTCTGTTTTCTGGAACAGGTACTTTGTACCACAACCAAGGAAATGAAATCACCAGGCAAGATTATTCAAAGGGTTACACTCTCTATGCCTTTGACCTGAGTCCAGATCTTTCAGCGGGTCCTCACGTTTCCCCTRTAAAGCAAGGGAATCTGCGCATTGGTTTTCAGTTTGCTGAGGGTCTTCCAAGTACCGTCAACTGCATCATCTATGCCGAGTTTGACTCTATGATCGAAATTGACTCGAACAGAACCGTCACTTACAACTGGAGCGGATAAATGAATACCAGACAAATTGCTGCTGTTTTGAAA